GGAGAGCTTAGATCGAGAATCATTCATACCTATGGATACCTTATCAAAATCATGGTTTATCTTGACGAGAGTCGATTCAGGGCCTCTTTGATTCAAAGGAATTTCATAGGATTTTTGAAGGATAAGAATCCTTTGGAATTTTTCCTGCGTTGATCGTTTGATTCGCAGGATTGAATCCCATAAGATTTTTTCCTATGGATTCATTTGAACTACATTTCATAGGAATTGTAGCATCCACTCCAACTTCTTGGAAGAAATTCTTTATTTTTTCTGTGATACAATCAAACAAACTCAAATCCTATAGAAATTCAATGGGCATGTCATTTCAATCCTACGTTTTTCCTATTCCAATGGTTTTTGCAATCCCACGAATCGAAGAGGCCCTCAACTGGCCACATCAGGAGCGGGCAGGCTCAAGATGCCTATCCAAGCAAACACAAGACCAGAAAGGAAAACAACGCAACTAGCCCACTACTGTTTCGCACCGCAGAAGCTACCAACAATAGCAGGACTGTACCTGACGCTTGCCCACACTGTACATCCATGTTGTCCAACTGGTACTCAAACCCAAAACTGAAGGAAAGTTCAGCAAGGGCATCAAGCCAACGTTTCATCATCCGAAAGAGATAACAGCACAGGAACAGCAAGCGACAGAAAAAACACAATGGAAACCTGCATGTGCAGCACATCGGATCCTCAGGCTTGCGACGAAAAGGAGTATGCAAAACGGAGAAGATCACAGCCGATGGAACAAAAAATGGCACAAAACCAGCTAACAGCAGCTTCGTCCGTATCAGTATCACGGTGTGCAGCTGAGCGACAAACACTCAAACAGCAACATCAGATCCACGGTGGGAGCCACGTGAACAATGAATGCTCTCAATGGATAGATAGATAGGCGTAGGCCTGCCGTGCTGCGGCGAGGGCGGAGACCACCACATCAATGGCCTCTCTGGCTCACGCGCACAGGCTTGGCAGCGAGGAAGGATGGGCCAGCTACAGCTCCCACAAGAGGAAACCTGGACGTTGGCCCATCACGGGCTACCCCTCCCCCTCCTGCCAACAACATCAGGGAGGGAGGCACTGCTGACCGGTCAGAGCAACAGCTCTGAGTCGCTAGCTTGGTAGGGGTGCTACAATGCCGCTCTGGACCGGGCACCAGTACGCATTGATACACAGTATCGCAAGAAACAAAAACTGTAAACAGTTTCTCTCCCAAAATGACAAGAAATTTGATGGCAACATCACGGAAATGGCACTGGAAAATTTTGCCTGTCAGAAATGTACATTATGTGAAACGAGAAATGGCATACAATCATCACAGACAAGTAAGTGTTATTCGGCAACACTGCATTCCAAAATATTAATCTCATCACAACAGAATTGCATCAATCACGGGAAAATAAATTAAGAGAGGCAGAGTGTATCATCCATCTTCCACAGAAGACGAGGATCACTGGTTTTGTTGATGCCAAGCAAGTCAACGGTAAAGACTGGTACAAATTAAGTGGCAATGTCCAGCCGAGGCTCAAAGCAAAAGCCAGTGAACAGCTGGAGAGGAAACTTTTTGCTCACAGGGCATTTTGCCGACCACTTCCATTGCCTCTGCTTCATGTCAAATCCAAGCAAAGCAGTTGCACCATAGCTTTGGATGTACACAAGGTCGTCGGCACCGCCGCTACAAAAAACATCATCCAACTCACCAAATCCTTGGAAGAATTTGTGAGGCATCCGACTCACCTCTTGCCACTGTGTCTTGTCAAGCTCCCATATACCGATTCCCTTGATGATATCAGGTCTATTGGGCTTTGCTATCCCGCCGACCATTACCAGCTTCCCTCTCAGGTTTAGTAGACGCCCGCAGGTGAGAGAGCAAGGTACAGGGATTGAGGATTGCGTTAGTGAAGTTTCAGAAGGTCCCGCAACAAGGTCATACATGATGAGCCTGTGACGGGGCTCAACATTGCCAAGAACACCTGTGGACTGGATCAAGCAGTACAAGACTCCACCACATATCACACTATCGTCACCCCCTCTCCAACCAATGAACACCTCCTTCACTGCAGTTACCCATGAACTACTCCGTGAGTCGTACTTGTATAAAGAGAATTCCCATTGGACATAATCCTCAGGTACCTGCTTCGATTTTGCCAATGTAACAGTGTAATTGTGAGTCACCTGATCTACCTTTAAGGCAACAGTGCTGTAATCTGGAAACTTTGCACCTGGGGGCTCCAACAGCCTCTTCCAATCTTTTGTAATAGGGTTAGATACAGAAATGATGTTTCTGTTGTCATTATCCATGAAGCAAACTAGCCCACAAGAAGAAGAGACGAAACAGCTGCTCTTGTCAATGCCTTGAAGCTCTAAATCATACCATTTATGGAGGATGGGGTCATAAGCATATCCAGAAGCAGTCTCGTTACAGGTGAACATGAAGTACCAGGGCCTCTGAGGCAACATGTGGGTCCAAAGATACCGGCTTGAGTAGATAATATCATGCCATCTCTTGCATACCGCTGTTGACCTTATCATGCTTGCTATTGGCAAGAAGGTGAAAATTTTCTCAAGAATGTCATCAGGAACTGCGGCATCCAATGAAACTGGCAATTCATTTTCTCCATTGCTAGCCTCTGAAATAACTCGAAAGTTGAATGCAGGAATTCTGATGCGCTCAATTGGAAGAGCTTCCCATGACGAATCATCTTCCATGATGCCACACAGAAAAAAATGCAGGTAGTGCGATGGCCTGAAAAAAAGGACAGGTAAGTCCTTAGTTCTTACACAGATAGTTGCAAATATTTTGCCTTATATTAAAATAATTCTTATTCTCAAAACAGCTCATTCTCCTAATACTATTCTTTATAAGCAAAGAGATCCTATCCGAATCAAAATAATACAGTATTCCAATAAATCCTCTAATAATGCTACACTCGGTGACAAAAGCAAGTCTTCCCAAATGTTCCAAAACAATATATGGATGAGAAGTTTCTATCGGGCAAGTACTCTGTATACCACAAATATAAAAGCTTCTACACAAAACCATACATGGCATCCAAAACTGTTATACTACAAATGAAGGCCAACTATGTCAAATACTCCCTCTGTCCCAAAATAAATGTTGCTGATTTAGTACAGGTTTAGTACAAAGCATGGTTTTCGAGTCGCGACTCATGCGAGTCGCTCTGGGGCAGCGACTCGGAAGAAGTCGAGCCTGCGTTGTGACTAGTCGCGAGTCGACACTAAGCTGAGTCGACCATATTTTTGCAACTCATAGACTAGTCGTCGACTAGTCGAGCGACTCGAAATCCATGGTACAAAGTTGTACTAAGTCAGCGACACTTATTTTGGGACAGAGGGGGTATATCTTAATACTGAGAGTCTGAAACTTTCATTATTGGCCCGTGCTATGCATACTACAGCAAACACTGAACAAGAACATATAGACATTCTCAATATAACATATACTTTTCGAATTATTTGGAGACATTTTGTTACTTTTGTCAGATGGAACTGTTATATGGCACATGTCAAATGCAACATTTCCATGGCCTTTGAGATGAAAACAAATGTTTGAATCGAAGCCCCAGCAGGATTTTCCATGAAACTCCATGTATACGCAGGAAGGCCCCTTAGAAGGATAGCACCATGGCATGAACAACGATACCTTCCATCAACAGCCTGTTGCGCCTGTTTGTCCTAGTATCGATGTCTCCCTCTCAATCACTGTGGTATCATTGCCCCAGCACAAATAGTGGGGGAGGAGGCCTGGTTGGCCTCCTCACCATTGGAAAGAAGCAAGGACAGACATGACTTTTGCATCGTAAGGAGCAAGTACAGAATGTAAGCAAGAAATCCAGGGAGATCTCTGTCCCCAACCAACCCGCTGACCCCGCCCCTCCAATCAAATCCAGCCATTCGCTCGCCCTGATGCCATTGGCCCCCGATGTAAATAAAATCATACGATCCATACACAGCAGCGTATTCGCGGATACGGACGATTTTCGCGGAGATGCGGCAGTCCGACGAAGTAAATATCATCCCCCAACCAGCAAAGGCAGCAAAGATGCATACAGGTTGAAATATAATGGGAAAGAAACAAAAAGGGGCGGTACATACCTAGAATCCCACGGATCAGATCGGCATCGGCTGCCTATCGCGGTTCTTGCGAATGCCGTCCTGAAGCAATGTGCGGCGATTTGGGCGGAGTGCTCCAACTCCAATCCACACGCTACGGGGAGGGGAACGAATCCGGAATGTCCCCCCGAGTTTCGCCCACTTCGGGATTGAAGGGGTGGAGATGGGGGTGGGTTGGGTTGGGTGCGGCGATGGGTTTATTGTTTGTTTACAGATTGAGGGAGGGAGTGGAAGGAGGAGGCGGAGAGATGTGGTGCCGCGGGCGTGGCGGCGGCTCTGCCTCTGCCCAGCATGCGGCTGTGCGCTATAATCAAATGAATCCACTGCTGGGGCTGGGCTTTGATTGTTTTGCGTTTGGGGGCTCTGTTTTATATATAGCAGAGGAGGAGAAAGTTTGGTTGGATTGGATGGAGCCTCCCCGGGACAAAAATGTACATCTTACTATCTTTTTTTATTTTGAAGATACTAGTAATAATGTACGTTTTTTTTCGAGGGTAAAGGGAGTTTTATTGCAAAGTTATAGAGTTACAGCCGAGAGGCCACAAATCCTCGATACAAGGTGGGGGCTGAAACAAGCCAAACAGCAGTGGTTAGCTTCGTACGGCTATAACAGGCCAAATGATCGGCAACTCTATTCTGTAGACGACTAATCTTCTAAGGTACAAACTCCCTACTACCAGCTAAGAACTTAATCTCTAGGGCTAATTGGCCATAAGCTGACCGTCGTAGAGCATCTGTTGATAGGCAGGATAAAGCTTCTCGAGAATCCGATTGCAACACCACCGGTGAATTTGAGTGATGTATGGCAAGAGCCATACCTTTCATCATTGCATGAAGTTCTACCTCAAGTGGACCATTGCAGTGAAAGGTATATTTGTATGCCGCAAATAAGATTGAACCCTCATTGTCTCGGAGAACACACCCTGCCGCCGCGGAGCCATCTTATGGGTTAAGCGAACCATCCACAGAGAGGGCGACCGTACCCCTCGCCGGAGCCGACCAAGGTGCAACGGCTGTAACCATCTTTTGGCGCATCACCACCTGTGGCGCCGAGGGCATCTTGCCTTTGATAATCTCCTCCACTGAAAACTTGCCCGCGAGGTTGATGGATTTATAGTAACTATCCAGAAACTCAACCGATGCAGGCACGGGTGGGGTTTCCTTACCATGGTAGCAGTCGTTGCGTATCTACCATATCCGTCAAATCAGCATAATTACCATGTCACAAACCATCTCTGCACAGGAATCAAGTAGGAGCATTAGCCATTCCTTCCCAGTATCAATAAGGCGATCATCGTCCGGGAGAGGCCATCTGGTACGCATGTTGATCCACAAGGTTCTTGCTTGAGTGCAGGTGACCAAGGCATGAAAGGTAGACTCCTCCTCTACCCCACAAATAGGGCAGAGTGAGCGTGTGGCCAAATGTCGGTAGTTCTTGCACTGTTGAGTTGCTAGGGTACCCGTAACCACTCGCCAAACTGTGATCTTCATCTTCTGTGGTACGTTGGAGGCCCAAATCATGTTCCACAACGAGCGACTCCCTTCCGGGTCAGAGCTAGACGCACCACCCGCAAAGGCCGTGTTATGATCACATGTGGCTAATCTGTAAGCACTCTTCACAGTAAAGTTCCCGCTCTTCTCCAGAAACCAGGACAAGAAATCATTCCACATACGGGGCGAAGCTCTGATCTTTGTTATATACTGTACGTCCATGGGCCAAAAAAATTCTTGAAGACGGTCCACCCGCCAAGCCCCGTTTTCATCTAGAAAATCAGCAACCCTTTTAGTCGACAGGTGCCCTTCGGAGTGATGGGGCGAAATGATGATGGTTGGGGGATCCATGGATCCCTCCAGGTGCGGATGTTAGCTCCGTTCCCCACCCTCCAAGTTGCACCTCTCTTGAGCAAATCCAAGCCATGCAATATACCTTTCCACACTGATGAACCATTGCCCAAAAACACCGTATCGAGCAGCTGTTCGGAGGGGAAATATTTTGCCTTTAGCAGGCGAGCACAAAGACTATCCGGCGTGTCCAACAAATGCCACGCTTGTTTAGCAAGCAATGCCCGGTTAAAGGATCTCATGCCACAAAACCCCATGCCACCCATGGACTTTGGTAGCCTCGGTTTATCCCAACTCATCCAAGCCATCTTCTTCTTGCCATTCTCCACTCCCCACCAGTACTGGCGAATCATGCGAGTTAGTTCGTCACAGACCGGTGCAGGAAGTTTAAAGACACTCATTACGTAGGCAAGAAGGGCCTGGGCCACAGCTTTAATAAGAATCTCCTTATTACCAGCGGACATATATTGCTCACTCCAATCTATAAGCTTCTTCTGTAGGCGCTCTTGGATTGTTTCAAAATTACCTTTGTGAATTCTTCCTTCCGGGACAGGAAGACCCCAAGTACTTGGGCTCAAACACCTCTTGAGTAATCTCCAACACATTTTTGACCTCCCGAGCCACACTCTGCAGACAGTTATCTGAAAAAAGGATGGAACACTTCGATGGGGTGATCAATTATCCTGTTGCCGCCGAATACGTGTTCAACACACCTTTAACCAAAAGAGCCTGCTGCTCTGAGGCATGGAAAAACAGGAGGGAATCATCCACAAATAAGAGATGTGAGATGACCGGGGCCCCTCTACATATCTTGACCCCTTGTAGACCTTCCTCGATCATCGACTTGTTCAGAAGGATAGATAGAGTGTCAGCCACAAAGAGGAAAAGAAAGGGGGGGATAAAGGATCACCTTGGCGTAGACCTCTCGAGGGAGAGAAGGACTCCAATAGTTTGCCATTAAATTTAACAGAATACTTCACTGACGAGACACATGCCATAACGCGAGAGATCCACTGATCAGAGAAGCCCCATTTAGAGAGCGCCCTTTCCAAGAAGAACCAATCAACGCGGTCATAGGCCTTCGACAGATCAAGTTTGTATGCACACAAGGCTTGTGAATTCTCCTTTACTGACTGGATATGATGAATGCACTCGAAGGCAATAATGGAGTTGTCTAAGATCAACCTCCCTGGAATGAATGCACTCTGATTTTCAGAGATAAGCTCAGATAGGAGCGACCGTAGCCTGTTCACCATGCATTTAGACACGATCTTGTACACCACATTACACAGACTTATGGGGCGGAAATCTTTCAGTTCCTTAGGGTGGGGTACTTTTGGGATTAACACAATCATCGTGTCATTAACACCATCTGGCTGATGCCAGTAACAAAAAATTCCTGCACTGCGGCTCACTACAAAAAAAATACACTTCCGTGATGATACGTGTTTGTCACAGTAGGTCGCTTTTTTGTCATGCATGTACATCCATGACAAATTTATGACAGAATCAAGATAGTCATACCCGTGCTGTCGTAGAAGTGTTCCATGACATTGTTGGAAATATGCCCTAGAGGCAATAATAAAATGATTATTATTATATTTCCTTGTTCATGATAATTGTCTATTATTCATGCTATAATTGTGTTATCCGGAAATCATAATACATGTGTGAATACATAGACCATAACATGTCCCTAGTGAGCCTCTAGTTAACTAGCTCGTTGATCAACA